TGCACTCTAGCCTGGGAAGGGAAGGAAAAGGGGAGAGGGAAGGGAAAGGGGAGGGGAGGGGAGGGGGAAAGAGGGAAGGGAAGAGGAAAAGGGGAAGGGAAGGAAATGAAAAAAGAAAAGGAAAGAAAAGAAAAGGAAAGAAGGGTCAAGTCACACATTGAGAGAAAAATATTTTCAAATCACAAGTATGATGAAAAACTTGTATCTGAGGTATAAAAAAACAAAACAAAACTCTCCTACAGTTCAATAACTGAACAAACAACCCAGTTAAAAAATAGGCAAAGTATATGAATAGTCATTTCAACAAAAGAAGTATAAGGATGGCCAAGAAGCACATGAAAAGGAGTTCACCATCATTAGTTACTTTGCATATAAATATCAAACCCATATCATAATGAAATAGCATATATGTAGGAATGTCTTTAATAAAAAATACAGTCAAAAAGCCAGTTAATAATAGTGTTAGCAAGTTTGTGGAGAAACTAGAATATTAACATATTCCTGGTAAGAGTATAAAGATGTGTAGCCACTTTGAAAAACAGTTTGGCAGTTTCTTCAAATATTCAACATAAATACCCTACACAATACAGCAGCTCTAGTCCTAGAGAAATCAAAATATATTTTCATACAAAGACATACAGATCAATGTTCACAGAAGCATTATTCAAAATAACTAAGAAGTGGAAAATAAAACAATTGGTGAATGAAAAAAGAAAACGTCAAGCATGACATTGAAATACAACTGCCATTTTGGTCACTTTTATTTAAATGTTTCTAAACAATACTTTTATAAAGTCAAAATAGCTTTATGCTTAGCCCATGCTCAAGTTCTAAACATTAATTAGTCCAGTCATACAAATCTGTAGCCACTTAAAATGTTCATAACAAGCTTTCCCACAGTGAAAATGATTTTTTAATGGGAACCTTGTATATAATCCATTTCGACTCTAATTAGATTTATCTGGGGAAAACACCATTGGCTAAGTGATATACCTAAATACCAACTAAACAAAATGTTAATATACTCTGAGTGGTAGAGTACTGCTCCATCTAAAAAGTGCAATAGCCAACATTAATAAGAAATTGGAAATCTGTAATTTTGGTTGTTATTCACAAATTATGCATTTTGTTCTATTTATAAACAAACATTCAGTTCACAAGGACAATAGTAATATCTTCAAACTTGTAGGCTCCACTTGCATTAACACAAAAGCTATTGCATAGCAATTACATCCTTATTTTGCTTGAATATATAAATAAAAATCATTATTTTCACAACTGAAATAATAAAAGTCTTAAATATTAAGCAGATTACATATAAAGTCATCTCTCATTTATGAGTTAGAATTTAATGTGGTTATTATATCTACTGTTAATGTGTAACACACAGCATGTTATAGTTAAGCACTATATTTTAACCTAATAACAGTAGCTATAACATTCTGAAATGTGTGTCATGAATCAAAGTCATAACATGTTCATTGAGGGTTTGGATTAGCACTTCATGGAATCTCGATCTATTACAACTTGCTGAAAGGGAACGAAGGAAGACAGAAAAGCTTTTAAGGAGCTTTAAAAAAACAGCAAAAGACAATTGTTTTGGAAGAATTCCTTTTCCTTGCTAAGTAGAACATGTAGAGGACTGTTGGTGGTGGCCTTCATTTACAGACGGGATTTTAATGCCCACTTGCAGTAACACGGCATGGCCCACTCCAAAGAAGTCACCAAAGGGCCAGGTTGAAACTTTCTAAACCACTGTAGAAGCAGAAAATAGAAAACCCAAAAGTTGCAAAAGGCTTTTCATGGATTTTAGAAAGAAGGATGGGGATTCAGAGTAAGTTCATGGAGCAAAATTCAGCAAAAACATGTTGCAATTCTACACTGCAATAAAATGATATACCCTTCATTTTGCCCAAAACATAACCAATAGCCACCACAGCAAATATTCCTTATATTTTTAGGCTAAAATCGACTTCCTAATTTATTCTTACCACTGACTAATAATCATTATGCAGTGAGTGCTTCCAACTGAGCTTTATCAAGTATTAATTAGGCATTCACCCTGTGAGAAGTGCTCTATGAAGAAAACACAAAGATAAATGACTTATTTCCAGTTACCATACAATTCCAAACCAGGCCATAGAGTGCTGAAACAGGATGATGAGATCACTTAGGGAATATAAAGGAGGAAGCAATTAGAGGACTCAAGGGAAACTGTACAAAGGAAATAATTTCAAGAGAAGGGATGAGAAAGATTATCAGTGCAGAAGACAGGCAGAGAGAAAACGAAAGATACCAAGGGCTAAAAGACCCTACTTAGAGAATAGGGATAAGTTCTTCAAGATTGGAACACAGCACATGTTTGGAAGGCATGCCAAGAGATGATGCTGGAGACAGATAGAGTGGGAGGTGTGACCATACAAGGGGGGAGGGATCAGGGGCTCAAAAGGTACCACACTTGGGATAAAGAAGATCTCATGAAAATTATGTCTATAACTGCACCCTGAAAGACAACTCCCAATACATAGAACATTTAGTGACCACCGACTAACATAAAAACTGCTCTGAATCCCATGGAATAAACACAGTAGAATTTAGTGTGTTTTCACATCCAGTGAGGAAAAAGAAAACAGTTACTAATCCATACAACTACACCAAGTCAAAATATGCCAATGGACAAAATGTATCCACACCACTCTAGAAAATGCTGTGGCTTCCATCTGATGGGAGTGCAACAAAACAATAGTCCACTGTTTGCAGTGCTGGTGGTCAAACACGATCCTCCCCTCAAGTTTGGAACTTCTAGAGTGTGATGTGCAATCTGGTAGCCAGTAGCCACATGTGACTATTTAAATTTAATTTAAATTAAAAATAAAATGAAATGTGAATCCTTAGTTGTGCTGGCCATATTTCAAGTACCCGATAGCTATGCGTGACAACAGCTAGTGGTGTCAATACTGGACAGTGCAGACATGGAACATTTTCCTCACTGAAGAAAGTTCTATTGGTCAGCACTGTCCTAGAGCCACCACTGCAGGAGGAGCAGACAAAAACTCCATAAGGAAAAAGTCACATTACAAATGTCTTTGAGATTATCAGATCACTTAGCATTGATCAGGGGATATAAATGCATAGTCAATATGTTTGTCAAAGCCGGGCTCGGTGGCTCAGCCTGTAATCCCACGCCTTTGGGAGGCTGAGGTGAGTGGATTGCCTGAGCCCACAGATTCGAGACCCGCCTGGGCAGCGAGATCTCATCTCTACAATAAATAAATAAAAAAAAAATCAGCAGGGCGTGGTAGCGCATGCCTGTAATTCCGGCTACTCGAAAGGCTGAGGCAGAAGGATTGCCAGAGCCCAGCAGGTCGAGGCTGCGGTGGCCGGGAGCAGCCACTGCACTCCAGTCTGGGTGACAGAGTGAGACTCCAACTCAAAAAAAAAAAAAAAAAAATGTCTGTCAAACTGAACTTTAATACAAAAGAGCTATGGAAATGGGGTAGTTGTACATATTCAACTTTAGGCAAAAGCTATATATATCTTTGCCCTAACTCCATCAACAAATTTCACAACTGAAGCTTTGTACCTGAGTTCTAATGAAGTAATTATATAGTATACAAATACTAATGAATTTGTCAAGATGAATATAGCCAGTTTAAAAAAAAAAGTCAGTGCAGCTCACTAATCACAGAAGATATCTTCCAAATAGGCACAAGAAAAATAAATGATATTTTACACTGCAAAAACAAAGCTTACCATCTGACCAAATCCCATGAAAAATCAATCTATAAAGATAATCATCACTTCTTATTTTATTCAATTGGGAACTGTGCTACTGTCTTTGATCTAAAGATGTGAATTCTATGTTGCTAGAACAGTCATGAAGAGTTAAATCTCATGGAGTAAACACTAGTCAATAGAAAACAGGTGTTGAGGGTATAGTCTTTCCTCCTTTCTCTGCCAGAATGGCAGAATGTATCCTGAGTCACATACATACTTAATTGGTTTAGACAAATGTTATTCATAAGAACCCTAATGAAGGAAAATGAAGAACAAAAATCCAACAGAAAATGAGCAAAAGAATTGAACAGATACCTGACAAAAGAGGGTATCTCCTGCGATAATTCCATTTCACTAGTAATGAGGAAAATGTAAATCAAAATCATAATCATAATTAGATATCACTAAACACTTAGGAAAACAAGCAAAATTTAGGAAACTAATAATACCAAGGTACTGGAATGAAGTAACGGACAATTCCACACACAGCTCTTGAAAGCGAAATTAGTAAAACCACTCTGGAAAATCATTTGAACACACACATCCATTTGAATGTGCTAGGCATATGACCAAGAGAAATGCTTGCCCATGTACAATTTGTAACTAGAGATATATACAAGTGATGATAACAGCAATACTTTTAGTAGCCAAAACTGAATGTAAACCAATTTCAATCAACATTAATTTCTACATGGCAAAAATGAATAAACTACAGCTATGTATAATAGCATAGATAAATCTCACACACATAATACTGAGCATAACTACTTCTGTAAGGTACACAAACAGGTCAAATTAAACTATCAGATTAGGGTCTATGTGTGGTATAAGTATTAAAATTAGTTAAACAAGAAAAAAAAAATCACAGGGATCTGGTTATTAGGACTGGTCTGACCAATGGAATTCTCTGGAAGGAGAGAGAAGAGTTGGAAATTAAACTGGGAGAGTGACTGAGGGACTTGGAAGGCTGGCCAGGTACTGTTTCTTTACCTATAGGGTGGTTTCATGGGTGTTTTCTTTGTGACAATTTATTGAGCCGGACATTTTTGTTTTGTATATTTTTTATATGAATATTATATTTCACACATACAAGAAAGTTGAAAAGAAAAGAAGTTTCTACACACACACTTACACAAAACTCCTCTCGTACATGAGGTTGACCCTCATTTCGTTCCACTCTCAGTCATCTTTCTAATGCTTTCCTCTCCCTCCTTTTAACTCACCTCTTGTATGGATTTACTCATTGATGGTGAAACATTGATATTTTCCCCTCCTTCAGGATGAATCTGGAAATTCACTCTTTGATAAAGAATCTGAAACAAGAACAGACTCTATTATGAGGGGTCACTTTTAAAATTTGCCACTCTTCACAATGTAGGCTTGAAATTTTTAAAATACTCTTTTGAGAGAAAAAAATCTCTAATTTATAATGAATAGTTTTGGTAACAGGCTTACTTCAGGATTTCATGAACAACTTCACAAGGAATATTAAAATATTCTAATATAATGTAATGAATACTATGGGCTGAGTATGTGAATTACAGAATCCTCAATATTTAATAGTATTTCTCAACAAGGGCACTATCTTTCCATATGCAGAGCTATCCTGTTAATTTTAGGAAATTCAGCATCTCTGCAGCCAAAGCCCATCCCCACCCCCAATTTCCAAAGGACCCTTCCCTAAGGAAATGATGTCTCCACTGGTTTTAATCTATATGGTTTCAGACATACTTTACATGACTATTTCTCTTACATTTTATTCTTGACAACACTAACTTTATCCCATCATATTCAATAATTTACTTACTGAAGTTACTTTCCATTTTTCTCTAGGCTATCTCCTATCCTTTATTCCTTACTATAATAAGGACAACATTATTTTGTATCCTAATATTTTCAAACCCCTTTTCACATAGTCATAACCTATTTTGCATACATAAATTAAAATTCTCATATTACGTAAAAAGTTCTCATATTATTAAAATCATCTCAGATTCACACACCCAACAAAAATGCACTTCATACAGGTCAGGATTTCGCTTAGTGGGAACACTTACTTCTGTCTGCAGAGAGCTGCTGGCTGCTAGAAGAAGCTCAATGCTACTGGGAGGGCAATGTGTCAAAGCAAAAGCCATGAGTTCTTGACGAGCGGCCAAATCTTGGTAACCTTCTGATTGTCCTAACTGGCTGCAGACGTCCCAACTTTTAGGATAAACTGTAAAATTGACAAGAACAAAGAAAGAAAGGAAGAAAAATATTCAGTCTAAGATGAGAAATTTAATGGTTTCCTGCTCAGGTTTTGTGGTACCAAAGCAAAATCAGTCATTAATGATACATTATTATATAAGCAGAAATACATAAGAAACTAAGATAGAAAAATGATCAGGTTGATTGACTGATTATCCAGAAAGTTCAGTGCTACTCCAGACAAGTGTTTCTAACAGATTCTGTTAAATTTTAGCTTAACTGAAAATAAAATACAAATAATCTACAGAGCTTTCTGACTAAAAAGATGGCTATCTGAATTCTGAAGACTTGAGTGTATGGTCTAACCTTGCTGCTTAGTACCTGTGTAAACTTGGGAAAGCTCCAAGTTTCACAATTCCTTTACTACTAAAAAGAGACAAGAATAATAATGCCTTCCTCTTGGTTTGTTGAAGAATTAAGTAACATTTGTATTTTAAAGTACACTGTAAACTGCAAAGTGCTAGAAGAAGAGATATTATGATAGATCCCTACACAGAATCATTCACTTTATAGACAATGACAGACATCCAAGGCCAGTGATCACATAGGAAACCAGTCCCTGATTCCCAGGAGAGTTCTTTTTTCCTACATGTTATATTCTGAATTCTTAAAATATACTTTTATTTTTATATGAAGCAGTTCTTCTTATCCTTGCTTTGTCTGCATACTCCAGGATTAGCAGGAGTTCTGCTCAGTTAAGGTTAGCCAGAATCTCTATACCCTCAATATCTGATACCTCATTCCTCACCTTGAGATCTGACCACCCTGGCCTGCTTTCAACAAGAAGTCAATTGAACAGGTTTAGCAAGAATCTCCCTACCCTGGATGTCTCCTCTTAGTAATTTTCCATTCAGTCTGCTCATCAGTTATAAATGACCATTTATCTGACCTTGTTGTATTTAGAATTGAGTCCAGTCTTTCTCACATATGAAATCTCAAGACTTGGCATCTATCATAATAGTCCAGAATAATCAACAAGTATCAGAATAATGTTTTCTTTGATAGCATACATACAAAAAGCACACAAATCATTCATGCATCACTCTGTGAGTTATTATAAAGTGAAACTCTGTGTCTTAACCAATCACTGTTAATGTGCTGGTAGTGAAAAAAAAAAAAGATGTGTTTGGGCTTTTATATATTCAAGCACAGCCACAGAAAGTAGACCACTTAGTACAGAGTGCATAATAAGACAACTTCATTTCCTATCCCACTGGAGAATGTAGTCTTTAAATGAGAAATTTTTCCACAATAAAATGTGCTTATTCTCCAGACTTGAATTTGAATACAGAAAACTTTAGAGGGGTAAACTGCTTCCCAATTTTTTTTACTATTAGTTTGAAAAAGACTATGTTATCTTTTTAAAAAATTAAATAGAAATATTGGCTATATAGTCACAAATTGTAGGCACTACAAAAAATTTTAATGTTCTTTTACATAACAAATAAATGAAATGGCATGAAAATATTTTACATAAAATTATTTTAAAATTATGAGCATGTTTTAATAAGGGACTGGAAAGTAAGCAAAATCACAAATAAGATATAAAATCTGAGCCCACTAAAATATCTATATATATAAGTACACGGGATACATATGTTATCAGTGCCCATAAAATGTATCTTAAGCCTAAATGTGGCTGGCCTACCAATCAGGTCAACTGATCTCAGAATAGGCCTTTTCCATGATTTATTATGCAAAGAGGACATGAGCAATGTGTTAAACAAGTTGTCTCCTCACCTGTGGCCATCAGCTCCTGACAATGCATATTGGCTGCTTTGTAGTCATGGAAACTAAGTGCTTGCTCCACTAAAAGGATTAGAACCTGTCCACGTCTTTCTTCTGGATCATTACCTATAAAAACATGCAAATGACTTAACACTGTCTTTTAAATTAATTCAAAAATAAAACAGAGATTAGACAGATTTTAAATAATTAGAGGACAAAAAGTCACTGCAACTTTGACCTTTCAATCTACCTATTAAGAACTGAGTTAGCCCTCAGTCTCCTAAGAGATCAATGATTAATATCAATTCCTAATTAAAATACCCAAATCAGAAAGTCAAAAGTCAGAAAAGTTTGCAGCTCTTCAGAAAAGTCTTGGTATTACTGAGGCAAAAGAAAAAAAAAAAATCTATGTTTCCAAAATAAAGCATGTTACAAAAGGGCTTGTATCTTAGGTGTGTCAAATTAAAATAGTATTAGAGAATATTATTCTCTATAGGCTGAGAAAATTATTTGCATTTGAAGAAAAGGATAAATAATTGTCCTCTGCAGTTCATAAATCTTAGTTGGGAGGTACCCTTGTAACAAAGACAGTTAACAAGAGATAAAAGTTTAATAACATGTATATCCCATGCATACATAAGAGATACCCAGCAAAGTGATAAATCTCAAACACTTTTTGAATTCAGGCTTAAATACCACAGTTCACTGAAACAAAGATAGTAGGATGTGGAAAAGCCTAATAATGAGGGTAATCAGGAACAGCACAATAAAAAAGAGCAAGACATGTTATGCAGATTTAAGTTAATGCCATCTCCATTGACAAGAATCTACTGATTTAGGGCCATCTTTTCCCTCCTAGTACAGAGGAGACACTCTCACCCATGGAGATGTTCCGTATACATGTATATTTCCCTCACGAAAGGGTAATTTCTACTCTATTTTCAGAGTTTCTCCTATGTCTGCAGTTTCTCAAAAATAATCCTAGGACATTTTCGCAACATAATCCTTTGCCAAAGAGGCATATTTTGGGGTGGCATATTCTGGTCTCCTACAGTAAAATTCTGAGATGGTGTATTTTTGGTCCCCTACAAATACTAGTATATTTTTGGTAAAAAATTTTTAAATAAATCCATCAAGCTTCATTTGAGAGGATGGTTCACATTAGTCTAATATCTAAAAACTGGGGGCTGAAGGAAACATAGCTTTGGCACTCAGATTATTTAAGTGAAAATATTTGCACTAGAGAAGAGGCAGAAATAAATTTCGTCTGAATTTACTATATCTGACTAAAGCAGGGTCTCCCTAAAATATAACTGCCATTAAACCCCCTCCAAGGGAGTTTCTCAAGAATTCAGCTGCCAGGGAGACAGACTGCCCATTTCGATTAGCATCAAAAAGCCCAAAAGAATCTTCCACAAGTTCCCACTGAAGCCCTAACCCTTCCCATCTCATCCCACTTTTTGTTAGCTTGGTATATAAACCTTTACTTTTGGCTATTCAGAGAGCTGCTCATTACTGAGTGACTTCTGGTTGCATGTGTAAATAAACTTGGTGTTGTTTTTTTTCCTGTTAACCTATCTATTATCAATTAATTCCCAAGCCCCCAACCAACTAACTGGATGAAAAAAAAAGTTTTCTTCCCAATAGGAACTTTAAACGTTTTTGCTGTGTCTTTTGAAAATATTTTTCCCTTTGAATATTCTAATTATAAGTAATAAATGACAAATATAAGGGGGGAAAATCTCTTAAACACCAAGTAAATAAGTGTATAGTTTCACTGACAGTACTAATATTTTATTTATCATAGTGAGCTTTTAGAGTCTAAAATTCAAATGTAAGTAGAAAGAACTAAAATTATTTTCACAAAAATATTTTTAGAAGCCAGATTAGATTTTGCTTCCTTTGACATCTCTACACCTTCTCCACATAAATACAGGTTTAGCTGCCCTTCCAAAATGTTTCTTTACTTTTCACTCTCTTAAAACCAATTTATTTCAATGGCAGGCTGGCAAGCCCCAAAAAAGTGATTATCTTTTTACTAATCTGTGTCTTCTCTTAGAATGTAAGCTTTCTAAAGACAGAGATTGCTTCATAGTTGAATTCTCAGTATCCATCATCAAGTTGTACACATAATAAGGGCTCAAAAAAGTAGTCTTAAGTCACTAAACGATGAGGATGCATTTAGTGAAATGTGTCATTAGATAATTCCATTGTTGTGTGAGCATCACAGAGTATACTTATACCCAGGTTATAGAGTACAGCCTACTATACATCTAGACTATATGGTCTGGCATATTGCTCCTAGGCTACAAATCTCGACAGCATGTTACTGTACTGAATACTATAGGCAAATGGAACACAATGGCAAGTATTTGTGCATTTAAACATATTTAAACCCAGAAAAGGTACAGTAAAAAGACTGGAAATTGCTCTGAGTGAGACAGTGAGTGAATGCGAAGGCCTAGGAGATTACTGTACACTCCTGCAGACATTATACACACTGTACACTTCAGCCTCACGAAACTTATAAAAGATATGTTTCTTTCTTTAATGATAAATTAGGCTGGGCACAGTGGCTCACACATGGAATCCTAACACTTTTGGGAGGCCAAGGCAGAGGAATCACTTGAGTCCAGGAGTTTGAGACCAGCCTGGGCAACATAGGAATACCACATCTCTATAAAAAATACAAAAGTTAGCCAGGCATGCCTATAGTTCCAGCTACTTGAGAGGCTAAGGTTGAAGGATCACCTGAGCCCAGAAGGTTGAGGTTACGGTGAACCATGGTCATACCATTGTACTCTAGTCTAGACAGACTCATGACCTTGTCACAAAAAAATAATAATAATATATATACCGTATCAAATCAAAATAATAAATTAAACATAGGCTACTGTAATTTTATTACTTTATATAGCCTTTAATGTTTTGTAACTTTTTGACTCTTAAAACACAAACACATTATACAGCTGTAAAAAATTCCTTTTTTATATCCTTATTCTGCAAACTTTTTCTATTAATTTTTTTTTTTTTACACTTTGAACCTTTTTGTTAAAAGCTAAGACACAAACACACACACTTGCCTAGACCTATACAGGGTCAGGATCATCAATATCACTGTCTTCCAACTCCATGTCTTGTCCCACTGGGAGGTCTTCAAGGGCAATAACACACATGGTACCCTCATCTCGTATGATAACAATGCCTTCTTCTAAAATATCCCTTGAAGAACTGGCCTGAGGCTGTTTTATAGCAACATTTTTTAATAAGTAGAAGAAGTACATTCAAAAATAACAAAAAGAATCATTTCTCGGTCTTTTGACTAAGATCAAATGTAAAAATAGCAAAAGGTATAGTATAGTAAATACATAAACCAGTAAGATAGTTATGTATTATCATTAACCAGTAAGATAGTTATGTATTATCATTATGTACTGTACATAATTGCATGTGCTATACCTTTATATAACTGGCAGCACAGTGGGTTTACATTAGCATCACCACAAACAGGTGAGTAATGTGTTAGCTACAATGTCATGATAACTGATGTCACTAGGCAATAAGAATTTTTCAGTGGCCAAGCATGGTGGCTCAAGCCTGTAATCCCAGCACTTTGGGAGGCCAAGGCGAGAGAATTGCCTGAGATTGCAGGTTCAAGACCAGCCTAGGCAACATGGTAAGACCTCATCTCTACAATAAATCAAAAATTAGCCAGGTATGGTAACAGGCACCTGGAGTTTTGGTTACTTGGAAGGCTGAGGCAGAAGGATGGCTGGGTCCCAGCACATCAATGGTGGGGTGGCTATGAGCATGCTACTGCACTCCAGCCTGGGTGACAGAGTGGGACTCCAACTCAAAAAAAAAAAAAGAATTTTTAAGCTCTACTATAATCTCATGAGACTATCATTGTATATGCAGTCCATTATTGACCAAAATGTTATGCCATATGACTGTATATCATCAATGAAATAAACATAGCTTAAAATCAGGATTTATTTTCAATTATAAGAAAAATAGTTAAAAGTTACAATTCCTAATTTGGATATTTAAGGTAAAAAGAACAATGGTTAAAAATCTTTTCTATTTTAAGGAGCCTTAAAATTATTTCTAGTATTTCCAGGAAAATAAGAAAATATTTATATTGTCCTTGTTTTTTTTTTTCTTTTAATTTTTTTATTTTAAAGAAATGTGGGGTACAATTCAGGGTTAGGTATACAAATGTTCATTATGCAGGTACCCTTGTTGATGAGGTGAGCCCCTGCAACCCAAGCAGATTTCCACTACCACCAATCCCCGGCAGTTTTCTGCTACTGCCAATCCTTTTTTTGTAGTATTATGATAATTGCTCAAGGTCCACTTATGAGTGACAGCATGTGATACTCAGTTCTTTGTTTCTGTGATACATCACTCATTATTATAGACATCTAGGTTGCTGTGAAGTTCATGGTTTTTCTAAGTTCTAATATGATTTGGAAGAAAAAGTAAACATATCACAAATGGGGTTGAATAAACTTTTAAAATATGTCCCTATCAATTGTCTGTCTTTATTTACCTTAACTTTTTGTATAATAATAAAGACAGAGTCTCACTATGTTGCCCAGGCTGGTCTTGAATTCTTGGCCTCAAGCAATCATTTCACTTCTGCCTCCCAAAGTGCTGGAAGTCACTGGCCTGGTCTCTGTCAATCTTTTTTCTGTGCTTCCAAGGCTTAAACAAAATCCAAGGCAAGTACTGGCACAATTGAGTCTAAAAATATTCTTTTAAAAAGGGATGGCATAGCACTAAAATTCATAATATTATTATTATTAAAGCAACATACTCATAATTTAATAAGATTCACATATCATATTGCATGCGGAACAACATGTAAAAATTTCTCTATAACAAATGCAACTGCAACACTTAACACAAAATCTAATTCCTACATAACAATCTTGCAATGCCTGCATTTTTTTCAGGATACACTAAATAAAAAATGAAAGGGCCAGGTATGATTTTTTTCTTTTATGCCTCAACTTGGCTAGGCTACAAGCACCAGTCTGGGAGGTATTGTGAAGGTGTTTTGCAGGTGTAATCAGCTAACTGTACCTAAGGAAGCTTATCCTGGATAACCCTTGGTAGGCCTGACTGAATCACAGAGAAGGCTTTAAAGAGTCTGGGGTATCCCAGAAAGAGAAAGACAGGCAGGAATGGGGTGGGGATTCTGCCTATGGATAATGCTTCAGCCCAAGCCCATGGAGTTCCAGCCTGCTCCTGACCTTCTCTTCTTGAATGACTGCCACATGAATTTCAGACTTGCTTAGCCAATTCCTGTAGCAGTGGAAAACAATTCCTGGGAATAAAGTTCTTAATATGAGTATCTCCTAAAGGTTCTGCTTCTCTGGTTGAACCATGACTAACAGATCAGGTATCTGAATTACTTGGTCTTTCCTTCATACCCTCCTCCTTTGAATGCATTCCTTTCTCTTATATTATCAGATCAATTATTTCATTTACTCTTCTTTATGGGTTTTTTTGGGGGGGGGCGGATAGAGACAAAGTCTCACTATGTTGCCCAGGCTGATCTCGAACTTCTGGTCTCAAGCAACCCTCCCACCTCAGCCTCCAAAGTGCTGGGATTAAACATGTGAGCTACCACGCTGGCCAGATCAATTATTTCTTGATTTGAGATGTGGTAAAATCTGAGGAATGCCTGGGACAACAGCCAGATGCAAAAGTCTAGTGAATGAAATGAAAGACAGTAGGATCAATTGATTATTATTATGATGTCAAAAAAAGTGGAAGCATAGATTAAGAGTAAAGGTTTACAGTTAAACCTCTTTTTTTTTTTTTTTTTTTTTGAGTTGGAGTCTCACTCAGTCGCCCAGACTGGAGTGCAGTGGCACGCTCCCAGCCACCACAGCCTCGACCTGCGGGCTCCGGCGATCCGTCCGCCTCAGCCTACCAAGTAGCTGGAACTACAGGTGCGCGCTACCATGCCTATCTAATTTTTTTGATTTATTGTAGAGATGAGGTCTCACCAAGTTGCCTGGGCAGGTCTCGAGCCCACAGGCTCAGGCAATCCACTCACCTAAGCCTCCCAAAGCATGGGATTACAGGCTGAGTCACCAAGCCAGTTAAACCTCTTAACTGTGAAATCCTCAAGAGATAATTTAACTTCTCTATTCCTGTTTCCTAACTTCCAAAATGAGACTCTTATCTCTGTCTCTAAGGGACACAGTAAAAAGGAACTAAGATAAGTACAAAAGCATAAAATAAGAATTATTATTAATGCAAATGTTTATATCATGTGTCAAAAATTCATCCTGAAATTTCAAGTTTTTTAGCTGCTCTTAATTCAATAAAGTTCCAATATGAACAAGTGGTTTAAATGAAAAATATCACCAAAAACAGGCCTGCAAAGAATGATGTTTAGAAAAATATTAGAAACAAAACAAAGTTCTTAGAAAACAACCAGGAGTATGGTCAGACTCAAAATCTATTTAGGATTCAAATTTTTAGTCTGAAGAAGAGAAACTAATGGTGGCATGACAAGGGGCTGAGTGTCTGAAATACAATGTAAAGTATGCCCACAAATTCTTTGATACTCCTTCCAAAAATGGAGCTTAATGCCCGTCCCCTCAGGTACGGGTTGGTCTTAGTAATGATGTCTAACAAAGAAAATGAAAATGATGGGGTGTGACTTCCAAGTCCAGATCATAAAAGGCATTACTGCTCCCTCCTTGCCCTCTTGTGAGTTAACATCTCTAGGAAAAACCAGCCACCATATTGAGAAGACACTCAAGCAGTTCCATGGAGAGTTCCATGTGGAGAGGAGCTGAGCCTTCAGTGCTCTTCCTCAGCCAGGAAAGACTGAGGCCTCCTGCCAACAACCATGTGAATGAGCCATCTTAGAAGCAGATCCTCCAGCCCCAATAAAGTCTTCAGGTAATATCTATAAATATTCCCCTTGAACTGGGCAGGGCCTGTGTGACTGCCTCCATGAATAAAATACAATGGGGGAAAAAACTGCCCAAATATGGCTAGATTGGAAAATGCATTGAGCCTTTTGTTTGCTTCTCTTGGGTTACCAATTCTGGGAGCCTCAGCCACCATTATAGAAGTCTAGGTACACTGAGGCCATCATGGAAAACTCACAAGGAGAAACCACATAGAGAAGAGATGCCTGTACAGCCCTAATTATTCCAGCAATCAGTTATTTAAGACTTAGCAGCCCAGGTGCCCAGATGTAAAAGTAACACAGCCTTTGAGATAAGTCCATCCCTAGCCACTACCTAACTGAAAATCAGAAAAGACCATGAACTGCCTAGTTGTACCTAGTCAATCTCCAGAACTGGGAGAGAGAAAAATAAATGGTTAGTTTTTAAACCATTAGGTTTTGGGGTGGTTTGTAAAGCAGTAACAGATAACCATCACACTCTATAAGGTAAATGTCAATAGCTTGGTGATACTTTTCTTAACATCCCAGGTAAAAATGAACATTGTCTTTCTTCAAATTCTCCAATATTGTTTCCAGAAACCATGCACTACCATCATATCCTATGTTGTATCCTAGATACTTGTTTCCTCAGCTCTCTACAATTCTAAATTTCCAGAGGGCAGCAGCTATGTGTAACAGAACTTTGTATCCATAGTACCTGGCAGAGTAACATTACTTTCTCTACATTTCTATTTTTTCTACTTAAAAATGTGGCTAACAAGAGGTTGTCTTGGACACTGAAAGAGTCAATAAGAAATAAGAGTATGGAAGGGTGCTGGCACACAGAAACCATGGATACCTGTTAGCACTCAGGTGGCTTGCAATAAAAATATATAGAATAAAACGTAGATCTTCAATACACTGCCATAGAGGGAAAACAAGAGAGTAGATACTAGCCTTGTCTTTTGATGATACTGCACTAAGTTGTAATATAGATACCACATTAAAGTTTGTAAACTAGAATGTGGCCATGTTGGGATGGTTCCCAATATTAGAACTAAAACCGCTGCAATAAAGAAATTGTCTAAATACCATGCTGCTTTGTAGGACTGAAAAAAAATGTTCTTCTCACTAAAATTCATATAGGTTACCAGGACCACTGGTGCTCCTGTTACTATGTCAACATGTTGCAAAGACCAAAAGGGAAACACAAACATTTACTAGAGACCTTAATAATAAATGTCCTACAAATTACTATTTTAAAACATTAAATGTACATTCACTAAATATACTAAAGATACATATAGTATGAGTAAAAGCTAAAAAGATAATCATAAATACCCTTTACTTTTATGCCTTTTTTACTTTTATATAATATGTGGCTTAGACATTAGCTTACCCTGATGATCAATGAAGGGTGCTTGCATGTGCATTAGCTCATTTGGGTCTCTTACAACTTGGTGAGTGAAGAAAGAGGGCATCATTCCTATTTTCCAGATTCAGAAAATGGAACTAAAGTAACTTAACAAATGCATGGCACATACTCAGGATTTAACCAGTCTTCTGACTGCACGTCCAATGTTCTCCCCAGTTATACCAGATGACTCCAATGAATGACTGGCCCCATCAAAATATTGTCACCTTTCCAAGTCTGTTGCAAGTCCAAAGATAAAAAGGTTGGTGCTATGCCTTCACACATTTACTAGGAACCTTAAGAATAAGAGTCCTTAGCCGGGCATGGTGGTGCATGCCTGAAGTTCCAGCTACTTGAAAGGCTGAGGCAGAAGGATCACCTAAGCCCAGCAGGTCGAGGGTGCAGTGGCCAGGAGCATACCCCTGCCCTCCAATGGGTGACGGAGTGAGACACCAACTCAAAAAAACAAGAGTCCTGCATATTAGGATTTCAAGCATTAAATGTGCACCCATTAAATGTACTAAATATACATCTATATAAGTATTTAAAAAGCTAAAAGTATCATAAATCAGCCGGGCTCGGTGCTCAGCCTGTAATCCCGCACCTTTGGGAGGCTGAGGTGAGTGGATTGCCTGAGCCTGCGGGTTCGAGACCCGCCTGGGGAGGCGAGATCTCATCTCTACAATAAATCAAAAAATTAGCCGGGCGTGGTAGTGCGCGCCTGTAATTCCAGCTACTCAGAAGGCTGAGGCGGAAGGATCGCCGGAGCCCAGCAGGTCGAGACTGCGGTGGCCGGGAGCGGCCACTGCACTCCAGTCTGGGCAACAGAGTGAGACTCCAACTCAAAAAAAAAAAAAAATCATAAATCCCCTTTACTTTTGTGCCTATAATATGTGGCTTGACTAACACAACTTCAAAACCCAGCTTATAAAACAAAATGGCCAACAATTATTCTTAAAGAGATCAGCATAAGTTTAAAATATAAAAAAGGTAATTAGACTCTGGAAAGCAGAACATGTGCTTAAAGAAACATGAAACAGAGTCAAGAAATCTTTCTTGGAAAGCCACAGTATGCTATTTCACCCTGCTGAGCAAGATACTTAACTTCTCTGATCCCCGATTTCCCTTATAAAACAGAAAGAATACCACCACCACCACCATTTATGAGAAGAGTATACGAGATAAAATATATAGAAACCCTACAAAATAGTAAATGTAAAATGTTTTCTAACACACTGTTTAAGCTCAAAAATGTGAAACCGATTTAGACACTGAAGGTGGACTGGTAGGGCTGCCTTGTTTTATATTTAAGTTTTCTGGTTATAAATGATAATACTGACTTCTGTTCCTGATCTCATAACCATTTCGAGGAACCCTGACTTCATTTAAAGAACAGATGGTTCCAGAAGCTCAATACTGGTACACATTTTTATAACACATCAATTGTTCTAAAAAAGTCTAATCCTTGTTCAAAACATGCTCTTCTCAGCTCCTTGAGAGGCTAAAGCGGCAGGATCACTTGAGTTCAGGAGTTCAAGATTGCAGTTAGCTATGACCATGCCACTGCACTCCAGCCTGGGCAACAGAGCGAGACCCTGTCACTCTCTTAAAAAAAAAAAAGATGTTCTTCTGACACCTGTAAGCATATATTCTCCCATTCATCTAGGATAATGTCAAGAATAACACAGAAACTTTATTTTGCAGTTTAGCATTCAAAACACTTACCTGCAACACTTAGCAGTTCGGCAAGGCCCAGAAGCTTGGCGGATTGTTTGTAGCATGTGGGAGATTGGGAAATACACTCCTTGATGAGGCTGATCCGATCAGAGCACAATCGCACTATCAAGAAAGATACATTAAAAACTTGTAACAGGAACATCACAAAAGGGCATGGTGCCCTTCCTAACATAAGGCAACCACACAAAACAAAAACTATTTTAGTCTGCAGATGAATTATAATTAGGTAAAAGCTACATTTAACAAACAGCAAAATTAATATTGCTTCTGAACAAATAATATACAACACAGATCTTTTTTCATAAACACATTTCTAAAGCACAGCAAATGAAATGTCACTCTGAAGCTAGAAAAATGTTATCGTATTTTTAAGTACTAAGTCAAGGCTTAGGACAAATTTTAAACAAGGTAGTAAAAACTTCACATACTTCTTATTATACCAACCCCCCAACACCTCTCCCCCTCCAAACCCATTCCATATTCTGAATATCCATTTTCTATCTCTACTACATCACTCCAGTTTGGAGGGCAGGAGTCCTCAAAGTGCCCACTGTTCCAATTTATTAGCCTTTCTCCAAAAATATGCCAAATTTTCTCAAAAATAAGTCCAATTTTCTCACATAAACTAGATATTAGGAAAACAAAACATGTCTGATCAAACCAGCTCAAACTATGCAGAAAAATACTTAAAGAATCAAAAAGATCTTAGCTAAAGGGTATCATGTATATTCTAGGAACAAATGGTACTTATTTACAGTAGACAAGTCAACCTTTAAAAAGCACAGCACTGCCAGGGAGGTTGGCCCCCAATAACTATGATACTAACCACTATGATAACAACAGCTAACATGAAAAAAATATGAATTATGTTCCAGGAATTATTGTAGATGCTTTATGTATATTAACCCTACAAAGCAGAACCTTAGAAAGTAGGTATTATTGGTCAGGTGTAGTGGCTTTTACAAGTAATCCCAGCACTCTGGGAGGTCAAGATGGGAGGATTGCTTGAGCCCTGGAGTTCAAAACCAGCCTGGGTAACATAGCAAGACCTGTCTCTACCAAAAAAAAAAAGCAGAAAGCAGGTATTATTACCCTCAAGGGAAGAAACTCAGGTGCAGAAAAGTTAAATACTTTGGTGAAGGTCATTGAAAAAAATGATGCGACCAGAATGCAACTAGCTCTCCAAATGTTGTTCACACCTTCAATCCTTTATCCATTCCTAAATCCATGGATATTCTGAATACATCCTGTGTTCTCTCCAAACTTCTTCTAGGTATGTAAGGGAGGGCACAGGGACAGGGGAGATGAAGAGAGATGGTCATTTTTCTTTGGAATGGGCTTTTTCTGGGTGAGATTGTATTATAATTTAATTTTGAACTTACAAAGGTTGCAAGGACGGTACAAAGAAATCCCCTATACTCTTGGCCAAGATTGACCACTTATTAATTATTTGTTCTATTCATGTATTCCCATGTGCAATCTTCATGTACATCCTTCCTTGTTCCCCCCTCTATAGATTCATACACAATATTTATACATGCATAAATATATACAAACACACATACACACACAAATACATATACACATACAAGTAAACATATACACATATATTTTTTCTGACATTTGTCAAAAAAATGCAAGTCCTTTTATTTCTAAATACTTCAGTGTGTACTTCCTAAAGTTTAGACTCTTTTAATTTTTATTTATTTTTAAGTTTAGACTCTTTAATAAAAAAATGAATATTCACACATCTACTAGTAAAATAATCCTGTTATAGCCTTTAATAGAAAATAGAAAATAAATGCAGACATCAACTACATCCTTCAAAATCCAATTGCCAATACCTACATCTAAATATGGATTCTATAGATTGTATTACTGTTCTCAGTTATCCACTAAAACTATTCAAATCCCAAATACCTGCCTCACTAACACTAAGCTTGTGACTTCTATGAGCAATTAATGTGAGAAGAAATGATACATGCCACTTCTGAGCAAAAGCTGTAGAGTTGTCATAGAATTCCACTACTGATCCCTTTCCTCTGCTGTGAGAATGCCATGTATCATGGAGCACTGAAGCAACTAACCAGAATGGACGTAACTGTGAGCAAGAATTCAGTCTGTTATTATATGCTCCTGGGATTTTTGAATTTTTTACTATAGCACAGTCTAGGAAAAACCCACTGACATAATATAGTTCAAACTTTTCCATATCTGGTTTTTTTGTTTTTTGGGGTTTTTTTTATCTAAGTCTCACTCTGTTGTCCAGGCTGGAGTGCAGTGGCATGCTCATGACTACCACAGCCTAGACTGCTGGGCTCAGACAATCCTTCTGCCTCAGTCTTCCAAGTAGCTGAAACTACAGGCACACACCACCACGCTGGGCTAATTTTTTTATTTGTTGTAGAGACGAGCGAGGTCTCGCCCAGTTTCCCAGGCTGGTCTCAAACCCTTGGGCTCAGACAACAATCTCGCCTCCACCTCCCAAAGTGCTGGGATTACAGGCATGAGCCACTGCGCCTAGTTCTCTATAACTTAACAAAATCAAATTGTGTGGTTTTTTCCTCAATATCTGCTACTATTTTATAAGACTTTTTCCAGATTCAATAACATATGACGACTATGAAACAGGTACTTTTTACATGTTTCTAATCTGATTTTCAAAACAACACTTGTAACATAATATCAGCATTATATGTATGTAAAACGATGGGGTTTTCATAGCTGCTTTCACTTTTTTTGTGAATTCTTGCATTCTTCTTAGAGAAGCTCTAGCTTTAGCGATTCTACCAAGCTGACTTCCTTACTATTACCATCTCTAGCTCAATAAACCAAGGCAAAAAACTGAAACCACACAGAGCAATGGACCATCATTCTCTCTATGCTTCCAATTAATGGGACACTTAGGTTTCAGTTCTTTTTCTCCTTGCTGCCCTAAGCAATGCATACTACTACTATTTCAAGTACATCAAATATATTTGGAGAGTAGGATTCTAATAAACTGCAAGTACCATATTCAAATGACTTTTTGTTTTATTTATTCAAGTATTTTCTGAACCTCTGGACAATCACTATACCAGTTCTCTTTGACTGCTGATTTTAGGACATACTCAATGATATTTCAACATGTGATTTCTCAATTAAATAAAGTCAAGCTGTGGATGTTATTATCTTTCCATGAAAAAGGGAGTTTGTGAGTCCTAAAATTCCTTTTCCAATGGAATCAACAAACATAAATATGATATGCAACTATGTATCTTTTAAAAATTGAGGACAAGCTAAAATACTTGCCCACAGTTATCCAGCAGTAAGTGAGAGAACTAGCTCCAAGCTGGGTGTAACCACAAAATCAGAAAAACTGACTTATCCTGTTATAGAAAAAACATGTGGAACATCTGAAATATCTGAAACCACTCATTTAAATATTAATAAACCTTCACATAAATATAAACACTCGAATACAGAGAAAAGCACACACGTACACACACACAATACTTCATAGAAGACACTTGCATAGGGAATCATTTTTATGTGCTATTTCTGTTTCTGCTTCCTATTAACTCATTGATTGTAATTTAGCTAGAATCACTGGCCTTCACCTGATGAGAAATAGCAACTCCTAGAGTGTAGGCAAAGAAGGCCTGGCAACAAAACAAAGTGACAAAATAAACCATGTACACCGACTACAATAAAAACACCTGGGCCATAAATATCTAAATGTAAAGTTGCTTTCTTTGTCCAGTATTACTGATGAATAGAAAAGAAGCTAAAACCTAAATCGTATCTGTGGGATAAACACAACAAAAAGTATACAAAGGCAATATTCCATCTCCACATCCAGAAGGTTTTCTGACAGTCATTCTAATAGGAAACTTCAAATCAATATATCAAGTGAAAGCTGTCAAGACATGAAAGTAAATATCTTTCTTAAAATATTCCTCAGTCAGGAAATTCTCAGAAGCTACAGCAGGGCCGCAGCTTGGTTGCAAATATTCAAACTCAGCAGCTGATACACAAACATGACCAACAAAAATGCTAATTGATAACCACAGAAAATCAGCACTTAATTTAATAGTTCAAAATATAGCAGCATTTGGGGGACTGCAAGAAATTTTTTGTATCATACCAATTTGCTTGAATTAAAAAGAAGGTAAACCATATACAGACATGCATGCACACACACATACAAATACAAACAGAGTAAACTTTATAATAGTATGGCCTAACAAGAGTGAGAAACAGAGCACAAGTTTCATTGTGCTCTGGAATCTTCCCTAACTAAAACTGCAATTAATTAATTGTTTAAGGAGGAAATAGTTAATGATTTCAGACATTTAAGATAAAACTAAAAATGAGCTTCACAATTTTAAGACACTCTGAGCTCAAAAATTACATTAACAGATAACTGAATAGAATTTTCTAGTGATTTAGCAATCACCTTACATATACGTGCTTACAATGCTACAGAATATTCAAAAAGATGCTACAGGATATTCAAAGTAATAACAATGCTTCCTCTTTCAAGTCTAATAAATTTTTCTGAGAAGCAAAAACTTTAATTTTTAATAAGACCACAATGAAAGCCACATGAAAACATGAGAATATTTCTACTGGCTCATATCCTCTAAAATCCATCCAACTCTAATCACTACAGAGGACAAAGACATCAAGGAACTTTAACAGGTCACCATTATCTGAAGTTATTAAACCTATTTAAAAAGAGAGAGACAGCTGTGGTGAAAACTTACCAAAAAAACAGAGATGGAAGGAACTCAGCTCTACCCCGCCCACCCCCATCTCAAACATTTCCAGAATTAAGAACGGAGAGATGAGAGATTACAAGGAAGTTGGCCAGTCATACTGCTAGTAACCAAGCCACCCTGTTCATGTAGAGGCCCAGGGTGTGAATCAACAGAAAATCTACCTCCCACTCATCAGTAAGGTCAGATAAAGTACAGTACATTGTGAGATGTACGCAATCTTTACAGCATAAAGTACATAAGACAGGTAACGGTATAACAAGATACTTGTTTTGGAAAGTACTTGTGTGGCTTTTTACATTTAGATAAAAGCACTTGAGCAATATTAAGATATTACTAGTAATTGAAGTCTAAACAAGTACTTCCTATCATTCCCTCTTTAAAAAAAAAAAAAAAAGACATGTTCTCATTCATAAGTGGGACCTGAATAATAGTTGCATTAGCACAAGGGAGAGATCGTCAGTCACTGGGCACTACTAAGAAATAAAGGGAGGGAAGAGGGTGGAGGGTACATGACAACACAAAGGGTACCTGATCCACTACTTGGGAAATGAAGGCCAGTTAGAAGCCCAAACTTCATCTGCATGCAGCCTACTTAGGTAGTTAATCCCCACTTGTACCCCACATCACCAAGATAAAATAAAAATTTTAAAGGAGAATGAACTTAGTTAGAGAATATTCTCAGCTAGGTATGGTGGCTTACACCTGCAATCCCAGCACCTAGGGAGACCAAGGCAGGAGGACTGCCTGAAGGTAAAAGTTTGAGACCAGTATGGGCAAAAAAGCAAGACTCCATCTCTACAAAAAATAAGAAATTAGCCAGGCATTTGTGGCACATTGCTGTAGTTCCAGCTGAATATTCTGATGCAAGCATAAAAATAATAATATTGAGTAAAGCATAAAAAAACTATTATTAGCTAATTATATAGTTAGTCATAAATCTATGCAATTGAAACAAAATATAGAAATAAACTGTAATCAAAACTGATAAAAATCAAAGCTCTCATCCATAATCCCCAGTTGCTTTTTTTAAGTCTGAGTCTCACTTTGTCACCTAGGCTAGAGTGCAATGGCACACTCATGACCACTGCAACCTCAACCTGCTGGGCTCAGGTGATCTTTCCACCTCAGCCTTCCAAGTTGTTGGAACTACAGGCATGTGTCACCACACCCAGCTAATTTTTTTCTCTTTTTTGAGTTGAAGTCTCACTCTGCCACCCCGGCTGGAGGGCCATGACACACTAACAGCCACTCTTGAGTCAACCTGCTGGGCTCTGGTGATCCTTCTGCCTCAGCCTTCCAAGTAGCCAGAACTACGGGTGCACAATACCATGCCCGGCTAATTTTTTATTTATTGCAGAGATGAGATCTTGCCAAGTTACGAACCCACAGGTTATGGCAATTCACATGTCTCAGCCTCCCAAAGTGCTGGGATTACAGGCTGAGCCACCGAGCCCGGCCTAGAAATAAATTGTATATCAAAGCTGATAAAAATCAAAACGCTTATCCATAATCCCCAATTTCTATTTTTATTTGTATCAAATCATCTCACTGCTCTATTACTAATGTTTTTCTTTAAAATTAGAAATATAAACTTCGAAAAATAAATTTATAATAAATGTTGCCTTTATTTTTTCTTGTGGGTTTCTACTTGAGATTGTATTTGAAAAATGGGGTTAAGGTGCCGGAGTCCAGCTCCAGCAGGTCAGGGTTTCCTGAAGGAGGGATGGCGTCGGCGCAGGAGAAAAAACTTGGACACTGACTCTGCTGCAAGCAGGACAAATGCCAATTTATTGTCTTTTCCAACTCCTTTTATACCCTACATGTTTTTTGTTTTCAAGGCAATCAGTTACAATTTAATGGACCAGACAGGCAACGTATCTTTGTTCATTCTGTTTTGATCTTAAAAGATTATCATCCTAAACATTAACTAGAAATTTTATAAACTCCTAACATCTTCTAATGATTATCATTTCTTAATGGTCATACAAAATTTACTTATTTCTATAACTATTACATTATAAATCACTACCAAGTTCTATGCACTATAATTATCACATAGATTAGCAAGTCACACCTGTGACCTTCACACACCAATTTGCACTAACTGGGGTAAAACAACATTTTCAAGGTTTCTTAGCCGCAAGTTGGCCTGACTAATTTTCCCTAATTTCACACCTGGTATTTACAATCTGTGTCAATTATCCCCTGTTAGGGAAAATGAGCTTCAATGTTAGCAAAGCAAAAGGCCTCTCAGGCTCAAATCACCTTAGTCACAATCCCTAACCAGAATTATAAGCCTCCTTAACAAAGGGAAGTAAAGGCAAGGGTGTTCTAATATTTATGTGATTGTTAATTTTTTAAGCATAATACACCACATGTAGAAATTAAGAAATTAAGTAAATGTAATTTTTGCATTGGCACTCTTCGTAAAAATACAAACTGTAGCTTCTCAAATTTCTCTAATTAGTCACCAATCAGAAGAAATAAAATCCTACAAGTAATTATCTACCCGCACATGATATTTTAAATCTCTATTGATAATTTCCTGGCAAGGTCAGTGAGATCCCTGACAAACATTAAATTGAGCACTTTCTGATTTTTTACAATTTTCCCAATTACAATGTTTAATCAAGTGATTGTGTGATCTAATACCAGGAGACCAAGGACGTGGACACCTAGGGAGGAATTCAAATGAAGGGAAGGTAATTTTTCATGAATTCCCCTCTTGTCTTTTTACAAGGGGTAGTGGAGGCGAGAATGGAATTCTGCTTTCCATCCTCAGTTCGTACAGAGCTTTTCAAATGCACCAATAGCAAAAGTAGAAGAAGCAAGGGTCTCAGCTGCCCAGATTCGCTTTACGACCCGGGATCTTCAAGCCCCCTGGACTTTGTCAGCAGGCAGGCTTCCATGGCTGGTTCCCAACATTAAGGGCAGGATCTACTGCTAACGCATTAGATGACCAAAGTTACTCTTTAGTTTTTTTGTTGTTTTGTTTTAGAGACAGGGTCTCACTATGTCACCCAGGCTGGAGAACACTGGCGCAATCATAGCTCGCTGCAACTCTGAACTCCTAGGTTCAAGTGACCCTCCTGTCTCAGTCTTCCCAGTAGCGAGGACTATAAGTGCATGCCACCACACCCCGCCAGTTTTTTCATTTTTTGTAAAGATAGGGTCTTGCTATGTTGTCCAGGCTGGTCTCAAACTCCTGGCCCCAAGTAATCCTACTGCCTCAACCTCCCAAAATGCTGAGACTACAGGTGTGTGCCACCATGCCCAGTACTCTTTAGTTTTAAAAAGTAAAAAGGAACACTAGTAATTTTGTGCAAAATAAATTAGTAACAGTGCAACAGTAAGCAGAAAACTCACCTTGCAAAGGCAGGATCTTTACCCCAAATTCTTCAAGACATCCAAGGGCTTGGATAAGATCTAGCTCCTCTTGAATGGCAGGGGGTCTGTCTGTTATCAGCTGTAAGCAGCACCTAAGAGAAATTTGACAAATTTTAAAAAAGAAGCAACATATGTTCAGCAAAGTTACCTTTCTATATTCAATAACATGAGATCCAACATATTCTTATAAAGAGCAGACACTACCTACATGTGCTAAAAATGTACAGAACATGAATTTATAAACTATGACATGAATCTCTTTCAACAGAAGAGAAATATAGCTTTACAGATCATCAGCAAAAATAACTGGTAAATCTGGAGAAAAAGGGCGAAGAAGAAGTGAAAAATAGCTGTGTCTCGTGCAGTATAGTCAATCTGTATTAATGACAACATATTTTGCAAAGAATAAACTAACAATGGAGTTTGTATATTCTGATATACCCTCCACCCCCGTAACAAGAAAAATATGGAGTCACTCTACCTGGCCAGATCCATGCAGCTATCCGTGAGGTTGGTAGAAGAATTGAAGTACTCTCTGCTGGCAGCCAAAACTAGGTCAATACTTTTTTCGTAACTGACCCTGTATTGGGGTTTCCCTTTATGGGCTACACTGGCTGGGGGGTTTATAGAACTAGCACTACAGTGCATCATCTGCCCAGCCAGGTGGATATTTTCAAGGCTACTGGAGCACAGAAGGCTTTCTGTAAATATCTGGGGAGAAGAAGAAACTGGAATTAGTGGTAAAGAGGGAAGACTCAGTAAGACTCTGAAATTCAAAGGAAATAAATTAAAAACAGATCCACTCAAGAGATTGCAGTTGTGCATTGTAAATATACTAAAGGAGAAGAATTGTATGCTACAAGATGGTTAATTTTATATTATGTGAACTTCTCTCAATTAAAAAAAATCAACCCTTTAAGAAGAAGAAAAAATAATTTCACTGAATAAATAACAATTAAGCATATTTTAATGTGTCACAATGAACACTTGGGTCAAGTATCTAAGGTTCAAATTTGTTAAAAACAGAACCTATTAGACTTGCTGTCCCACTTAAACTATTTTTAATCATTTCAATTTTTTAAAAGAATATATTTGAATACAACACATATTCATAACTGCTTAAAGCATCTGAATTCAGTCATACAAACTAAATAGCCAAGCCACAAATGTTATACTTACACCTAGTCATTAAAATTACAATATGGTATAATGATAAGTTTTTTCTAACTTGCATAATTATTTAAATATAACAAGAGACACTGATGGAAGGTATTCATGCAAATATCACTGTATTCTACTAGGCAACTAGTAGTATCAGCTAACACAAAATTAATACTATGCTGAAATTATTTATATACTTACACCAGAAAAGTATCAAACAAAGCTATCCTGTTAAGTCTACACTAGTGTTATATATAATCAGTACAAGAACTTCCCCAAGAATGCCATTTCCTATCACTCCACAGATCGATAAGGGAAGCAAAGAAACAAAAGAGATTTAAAAAGAAGATTTCACAAAGCAAGAGTTTCCTTATAATTAAGACCATCGTGTTTTCACAGGATCCCCTTACTTTTACTTCTTTTTTGTCTAAGACTCTTACACGAGTCATTTTTTGACACGTCTTTGTTGAGATGTCTGATGGGACAAAATCACTAATATCTACTATCGAATATTCTGACAGAAAGCAAACTATTGAAGAGCAATGCCCATCACATATCTGACAGATGAAAATGGCTTACTCCAAATCTAACTTACATGTAATGGTTGCTCTATATTTCTTTGGTTTACTCAAGTAAGCTATAAAGAGTCAATGTCCAATATTGAAAACTACAATTTACTCATCCTAACACATAAAAAGTTTTGCTAAAATGAACAATATAGATTTCTGTTCCACATACTATATATAAATCTTCATCTAACATTTTCAAAGTTATACCACTGAGCTTTCAAATTATTTTCCAGGAACAGCAAAAAATCGAACCGCCAAAAGTCAGTAAGACAATGTAGTATTAGTTTAAAAGGTACTAAAATGCTATTTAAAATTTTAAGTTTGTCAAATGTGTATTACTGTCTTTTAGAATCTTTTCAAAATAGTTGTAATATGCTTTCAAATGTTGTCACAACAGAAAGAGACTCATGGACAGAGATCATTAAAATATCAAAACCTAACAAAAAAGTGTTAAAACATTTAAAAAATGTAATGTGACAAGCTGTTATGATAGATTATTCGACACAAGAACTAGTTCAAAAGTAATATGCTTATTGACGATTTTTAAAATCAGAATCAGAATCATAGTCAGAAACAGGAAAGTATCAAAATAATGACACTCCAATGTAAAACATGACTTCAGATATACTAATGACAGTTAGGTTTTAGACCCCACGTGCATATAGATTATTTTCTCATGAAACTGATTTCAAGTTTTGTCTTAGATGCAAAAGGGGAAGTTACTGGCAGTTGAATGTGGTATGAGACTGTAACCATCGATATGAACATTACAGTCATTCAGGTACTTTAAAACCTAAATATAAAATATAAAATCATTCATTTCTCAACAGTTTACATTTGTGCTCTTTTGTTAAAAATCACCTTGAATTTTAAAATTAAATGGTTTCACAAAATAAAGACCTATTTCTACTACTCTCATTTCATCAATGAGTCATGCTTTATTATATCAGAGCAAAGCTACACTAGAAGTACTCTACATGATTTTGTGTCTGGCTAATTTAACTAGAAAATTCAAATGAGAGACCTCTTTAGACTGCATCTCATTAAAAATGGGTTAGTTGGATCATTTTTCCATACAAATCATGAATAATTTATTAGTAATATATATACTTTCCAAAATAACGAGTATATCCCCCTGGATTAGACTCCCAGTCAACTGACAACCATTTCTTAAGTATCCTGTATACTCCGAACATTATAATATGCACTAGGAGATATGAAGGTAAACAAGATATCAACAAATGCCTACAAGTTAAAGAAAAACTATAGTAGAGGCAAGTTATATGAGAGAATAAAGGAAGGCACCCTAGGGGCATAATCAGTGAACTGAGTTCTGGAGTTACAAAAATTTATCAGGAATTTTCCAAGTAAAGCAAAGAGGAGTATCTTACAGGTCAATGGAACAATGTAAGCAAAGTCACAGAAACAGGAAACAACAAGGTGGGTACAGGGACAATGACACACTTGATGGAGCTACTACAGCACAGGACAGTGGAGCATGACAAAGGTGGGAGGGGACAGGAAGGCTAGAATCTGCTGTGGTTTCCTATGTCCTATGCTGTGCTAAGGTGCACAGGTCCTTCCTAATTATTGATATGTAACAGCAACAAACTCTGAGAAGGGCCTTTGTATGTCATGAAAGGTTTGTTTTAGAAGAATACTCTGAACTGGTGTAAACCAGAAAGAGAAATGGAAGCAGAGAAACAAGTAGGAGAATTGCTACAGTGTAGCAGAGATGACTATAGGACTTCAGAAGACACTTCTCAGGTACATTAGATAAGTTCTGGAGACCACCAAAACTATAAAGTTGAGAAGTCAAGTGTGATCCAGAGTTTTCTCTTTTTTTTTTAGTTGGAGTCTCACTCCGTACCTAGGCTGGAGTTGCAGTGGCACACTCACAGCCACCCCAGCGTCGACCTGCTAGGTGGTTCCAGTGATCCTTCTGCCTCAGTCTTTCAAGCAGCTGGAACTACAGGCATGCGCTACCACGCCCGGCTAATTTTTATTTTTTAATTGTAGAGATGAGGTCTCGCAAAGTTGCCTGTGTTGGTCTCAAACACGCAGGCCCAGACAATCCACTCACTCAGTATTCCAAAGTGCTTGGATTACAAGCTCAAGCCACTGAGCCCAGCCGATCCAGAGTTTTTCAGCTGACAATTAACCACTAAATAGTGTTGCACTGAACAAAAACAGGGAAGACATGGGAGAGTATGTATGAAAGTGCTCAAATCATAAAAGAACTAGTCAATTATCAGTTATCATTCTATAGTATTACTTACAATGAAGCTTATGGTTATCACCCTTGTGTCCAATAAACTGTAGCAAGCAAAAATTTTAAACGGAAAGGCAATAGTTTACATATATAGAGTTACCTCATAGCAAGCATCAGAATCTAAACATGTGTAGATATCCTGCTGCATAGTTAACATGTCTTGCAGTAACATCCTCCAATGAGACTCACTGACAGGAGGCTGCCTGGTAGGGGGAGAGGGGGTAGAAGGACAGAAGAAGGAGGAGAAAAATAAAACAATTCATGAAACCTCTCTCTTTAAAAGTAAAAAACAAAAAACAAAACAAAAACCTAGCACCACCATTGTATACCACATAAGCAACCAAATGATCAATAGGAATATATTTCATATATCTCATTTAAATTTATATGAAAAGATAGAGAGAAAAGTTGGCTAGCTATACATCAATGCTAGAGATGCTGACAAAACAGCCTGTCATAGCAAGCTGAGACACTAAATTACAACAGTACTCAATGATCATGGTAACAGGAAACGAGCTGTGAGTGTCTAAAGTAAAATAAGGCAGTAAGATAAAGTAGTTATAATATGGCAGGAAAAGCACTTGGCTACAGAGATTAGCTTCAAATTCCATCTTCATCACTCTGTAGTCCCAGTAAGGGGTCTTCGTGACTTCCACTGAATGGTCGGACTGATAGGGCAATGTCAGGCCACACTTGGCATCAGTCTGGAGGACCAGAACCACTCACCGGCAGCATCACTTATTCTTTCAGTGAGAGTTCTAACAGTAGTCTACATAGCAACTTATGGAGCATTCCAGTACAAGGAGACAGAGCCTCAGGAAGGAGTTGTAGACACTGCCCTGTCTGGCTTAAGAAGTTGTATGTACTAAAATAGTCAGTACCTCTTGCAAAGATGCTATAGGCAAAGTTTTTCAAGGTCCTTTCAAGGGACATGTCAGGGACCACACTTAGGAAAGCCCAAAGCATAAAGCCTTTATCAAGTATTTCTAGTTCATTTACAGTTTCTCCAGGCTAAAGGCAATTTATCAATCAGGGATCAGTTTTACACAAGCAGTGAGGCCTATGCAATATAGATGATTAAAAACCGGTTTATATTGATTTCCAGAGCTACAGAACTAGAAAATTAATGGCCAGATTCTCCTGCAGCAGGGGAAAGGGTTTTGTTATCCATTTTACCCACAGTCATAGATTAGTTGTATGATTGTGAGCAAGTCATTTAATATTCCTGAATGTATTTTCCTTGCTGAAAGTCCACCTCAGAGAGTGATAAGGAATAGATCTATTTTGACAAAAAACACAGGCATCGAAGCAAGACGCTCCTAAATATAAACTCAATTACCTGCATAGATCTGAAATTTTTTTTAGTCTCTCTGAACTTTAGGTTCCCTTTTTGCATATAATGAAGATTAACTTAAACCAAAAAAATGAAAAGACCCCCCCCACACACACTTTCTGGAATATAGTAAGTTTTCAACAAACGTGAATGAATACATCTGAGGTTGCAAACATATTTTCTTTTCTTTTTTTTTAAGTCACATACATGATTACTAATATTGGCTATTAGCAGGGTAAATATAATTCTTTCTGCCCTCTCAAAGTTCATCTTATTTTTAAATATATGTGAGTTTGGAATCATCATTTATGTTTATCTTCTAGTCTTAAAATTCTACATAATCATGAATATCACTGTCCAAAAAGGGCTTATTTTTTGTTTTGTTTGTCAAATGCCATCTAGATAATGTTTCTTTTCCATGCATCTTTTTCTTTTTCAATCTTTTATAATGCCTTTAAAATCATCACTATTTCCAAAAGTTATGCATGAAAAACAGGACAGGGAGATTTAATGTGTATAATAGTTATTGCTATAAAAAATATGCATTTTGGAACAAAAGTGAAAAATATAGTCTTTAAGTGTTCTTTCCTAAAATTCTTAACAAGCATATACTTAATTTGCCTATGACATTTTATGTGTATTACACAAAATGAACAATTACTTTTGTTCCATATGCAGTAAGAAATAAAAGAACACTTTTTTCCAACACAAATGTACAAATTGATATATCTGCAAGTATTCCAGTATAATCCATAAAATATTTCCATTGGTTTGACTTTGGTATGTGAACTGGTTCAGTGGGCTGCAAAGAGCTAGAGGGCTCTTTCAGATATGGCTTGCAGGAAGAGAAGTAGCAGAATGTTTGATGAAGTGAATGTCCATCTTGTACCAGCTTGATAAAGTCAGACCTACACACTGTCTAGCTGAATTCAAGTTCTCACAGCCCAGCTGTTCTTCTGAAAGCCACAACACCGGAGCAAGTGGTATTAATGTTTTCTCACACATGGCTAGTCGTAAGTAGAGGTTCTAATTAAAATTATAATACATTATTTACAATGGCCTTTTTCAGAATACACTCAGTAAATAAGAATCAAGAGTGGAACTTTAAGAAACTAAGCAAGACGTTTGCAAATTAACAGACAGATCCCACAGCACAACCATAATATTAGTGGTGAATTTCCCAGAGAGAAATAATATTGTACTCAAGATGGTAAATTTTGCATATGAAAGATTTGCTGAGATCTGTCACCATTCAGAATATGCATACAAGTATCCCCTACATACTGAAGGCCAAGTCATGGAAGCATACATAAAATAATTAGGATTCATTTCAAGTTCACTGTTTTGAAAACAGGGGCCATAATCTCTTAAATAGTCACTGTAAATAGATTACCAAGAGTAGAAATTAGCTTCAGGGACTCTGGAAGTATTTAAGAAACTCAGTGGGAGGATGGTTGGTAATCTGGCTGTAACAGCAAGGCTTTTCTTTTGAAGAGTAGATTCTGGAGTAGAGTCAGCATGATCTTGGAAACACCGGACACCCATTTGTAGTTGTAAAGAAATCTTAAGACTTGAATAGTCAAAACTTCTACATCATTCATTTAATAACTATAGAGGGAGATCCACTGATATATAAGTTCCCATTTGATATCTTTGGTAGCTATACCACTTTCACCTGAAAACTTATGATCTAAAAAGGATCTTATGACATATATGTCAAAGACTATAGTATTGTTGCAAAAGACAGATAGTAAGGAGAGAGAGAGAGAGAGAGAGAGAGAGAGAGAGAGAGATAAAATGTTAGAAAATTTTCAGGGAGAATAATTCAATTCTCTTGGAGGGGCCAAATAAGGTTTCTTAGAAGATATAGTAGAGCTAGCTCTTAAAAGACAGGAAGGAATATAAAATAGTATCTGTTACTATTGGACCTTTAGTTTTATTTTTTTGATATTTGGGTTAAACTGTAACTCTAAAGCCTAAAAATGAGGTAGGGAAAATGTTTAAAATGTTCTTGAAAAGTTGTCTTCATTTAATCCCACTATCAGCGAACCTTCCGGGTTCGTACTGGGGAGGAGTTTTTCCCCAGCCTTCTTCACGTTTTTACACAATCACCCTGAGTAACAGATCCGGAGCCTGCCCTCTCCTTACATACACAGGAACCACTCTCAAATCCCCAACTCCAGCTCAGACTTCTCTGCTGATCTTTACGCATACCTTCACATTCAGATCTCTATCCACTGTCCCACAAGTGCTTCAAAGTCAGCTCATCTCTATTTGGTTCTTAGTTATATTACTGCCCCAAAACTAATGTAATAGTTCAAAAAATTGTTAGTTAATTTATTGACCATTTGAATATCATCTACTTTGAAACATCTTTCAAGTCTGTTGCCAATTTTCCTCCAGGGTAATTTGTAAGTTTATAAGTATCACAGCCTTTATAAGTATTATTTATATTAATGTAATTGAGTGTATCTCCCAGAAGACTAGGAAGGTGTTATGTCTCTTTCTTCTTCATAAGCCAGATATCAAGCATAACACTGACACAAATTATATATGTCAAAATCTTTAATAAAATATTCATAAAGTAATATAATGTAAATAAAATTTCATAAATAAATGCATATTTATGAAATGTGAATATTAACTATTCAGTTGTACTTTAAATGGTAACAACATAGAAAAAGACAAAATCAATTTAAAGTTTTTCTACCTTTTAAAAATTTATCATTACTATCTTTTCACTTACTTATTCACTAATTCATTTGAAAAAAATGAGCATCTAAAAATTATTAGACACTATTTTAAGCAATAAGTATAAAAAATAATTCATTCACCAAATCTGTATTGAACAAAACAATAAATGTTTTCTGAGCACCATCTATGATCTATGTGCCAGTCATAATATTTGGATGAAACAAGGATTTGACACTTGTGCAGCTCTCAGTTTTATACACACACACGCGTGCGCGCACATACACACGTATTGCCGGAAGTTTGAGAATGCAGGAAAAAAACAGATCAATTTGGGAAGAACTGATGTTTTTAAACTATTGAGTTTTTCAATTTCAGATAGATATATCCCTCCATTTCTTTAGAACTTTAATTGATCTCAATAATGTTTATAATTTTCACATCTCATTTCAGATTTATTCCTAGGTATTTTATATCTTGGTACTATTACAAAGTTCTCAACTTCATAGTCCTCTGAGACATCCATATTAAGAAAACAGTGAAATGCTACTGTTTGATTGCCATTTGAACAGTTTAAGTGAAAAAATGCCATTTGAACAGTTAAAGTGAAAAAAAAGTCAATATCAAGTATTGGTAAGGTATTTGAATGACAGTAACTCTTGCACATTGCAGGTGAGGATATACAGTAATATGGCAATTTTGAAAAACTGTTTGGCAGAATCTCCTAAAGTTACACTCTGTTATATCCTGTGACAGCAATTCCACTCCTGGGTAGGTATCCAACAAAAATCCAGAAATATCAAAGGGCACATAAGTACATAATTATTCATATCATTAGTATTAATAACAGGCAAAACTGAGAAACAATTCAAATGTCCATCCACATAGAATGCATAAAAATGGAATACTTTACAACAATGAGAATAAACAAAACTATTACATCAACAATATGAATAAATCTCACAAATATAATGTTGAGGGACAGAAGTTACATACAAATGTGTATACTATATAATTCCATTTAAATTAACAAAAAGAGGCAAAGTTAATCTACAGTGTTTTAAAGAGAAGTAAAAACTAGGAGGAACATGAGATATGGCTTATTTCCTAATTATAGCTCAAACAATTCTTATACCCTCAGTTCTCACTGTTGTCAGTTTTTCACACATGGATAGCATC